TACCTCCTCTGTTGTCCGCAGCAGAACACACACACAGCAGAGTCAGCAGGAACACACACACTCGTGTCGGACACATCTTCAGCAAACAGAGGAACCTGCAGAGCCCCTGCTTTAGTGGAGATCCTCATCACACTGACACACTACAGCTGAGCACAATGAGACACACACACACACACTAATACAGTTCAGCTGAACACACACACACACACACACTACAGCTGAGCACACTGACACACACACACACAGTTTAGCTGAGTTGACGTCACTGATGACCCTCACAGGCCGGTCTCCGTCTGCTGCAGCCGTGTCTCTCCTCTCCTCTCCTCGGCTGCAGCTCTCCTGTGTTTATTCTCCTGGTTGTGGAGGGGTAAAGGAGGTTAAATGCGGGATTTTACTGATGTTTGAGCGGCTTTAGCTGGATCAGCTCGTCATCATGACCACACTTTACCAAAATGATTTCTCAGAAACATTTCCCACACATTTAAACTAAAGGATCATCTATTATGCTGCATTATTGTTGATGAACAGCAGTTTACTGCAGCATTTATTATTATTAGAGAGAAAGCAGGCCTTACAGTAAAGTGCTAGAGTAAAGCCTGCGCTCACTGTGTTCATCAGGCATTATTAATCTGAGCAGCACACTCGGCTCTCCTTCAGCTGAACGTGTCCTGTGATTTATATACAGTGAAATATGGATAATAATGGCGTGGGTTTTCCAGTCTGTTTGTCTGTAAGTCTGTGTGAAGACTGCTGGATCATCAGCTCTGGATGTAGATGAAGAGTTCCCTGCCCTCTGTGTTGATCAGGGATGGAGAATGTGAGATGGAGGAGAGCTGGACTCATCAGGATGACCAGAAGTCAAAGTCAAGTCAAAGTCAGCTTTATTGTCAATTCAGCCACATGTACAAGACATATAGAGAATCCAAATCGCGTTACTCTCAGACCCAAGGAGCTTAACATTAATATAAACAACTGATTATCAATATAAAGAACTGATCCGCTCCGTCTATCCCACATCTGTCCTCACTGCTGATGAGGAACGAGCTGATCCACACTGCTGTTCAACTCAACCTGCTCCACACCTGACATGAAGAGAGAGAGAGAGAGAGAGAGAGAGATAGAGAGAGAGACGGAGAGAGAGAGAGAGAGAGAGAGAGAGAGAGAGAGAGAGAGACGGAGAGAGAGAGAGAGAGAGAGAGAGAGAGAGAGAGAGAGAGAGAGAGAGAGAGAGAGAGAGAGAGAGAGAGAGAGAGAGAGAGAGAGACGGAGAGAGAGAGAGAGAGAGAGAGAGAGAGAGAGAGAGAGAGAGACAGAGAGAGAGAGAGAGAGAGAGAGAGAGAGAGAGACTCGTGTAGACTGCAGCAGTGTTCAGTGCTTTATTAACAGCAGAGTGTGTCATGAGGAGCACAGCCTCATCCCTTTACTGAATGAACACACACACACACACACACACACACACACACACACACATATTATACAGTACATTACAGTAAGTCAGCTTGCACCCTTTGGAAAGTTACAGTATGACAGATATGTATGTGTGTGTGTGTGTGCGTGCGTACGTGCGTGTGTGTGTGTGCGTGTGTATGAACCGTTCACTGGAGACAGAAGTGAAGTGAGCATGTGTTAATAAAGACACTGTGATTATAATAAAGCGCATGCAGAGAAGCACAGACCAACACACACACACACACACACACACACTCCGGCTCAGCTGCTGGTGCTGATCATAGGCTGGGGTCAGAGGTCAGGGGTCAGTCTTCTTTTTCTCCTTCACTGTAGAGTTTCCTCAGACTGGAGTCCAGCAGGAGATCAACAGACCTGAGGGAGAACACACACACACACACACACACACACACACACATATCAGCAACACACACACTCATAAATACACACACACACACACACATATATATATATATTGGGCATGTCCAGATCTGGTCACCTGGTTTCAGACTCGATCAGAATCAGATGTGAGCTGCTGATCAGGACAGGTGTGTGTGTGTGTGTGTGTGTGTGTGTGTGTGTGTGTGTGTGCGCTCTGGCTCAGGCTTATTAACAGAGGGAAATGATGTGCAGAGATCATTGGCCACTGATGATGGTTAGTCGTGTCGGGAATCGACCACAGATCAGCTGCTGTCCTCACAGACACAGGCTCCGCATCACGCTGGGTCGGGTCGGGTCGGGTGCGCTGTATATTTGTGTTTCAGTGTAATGAAGCTGCACACTCTAAACACAGCACAGTGATGTACACACACACACACACACACACACACACAGAGTCAGACCTGTCGATGGGGGTGATGATGAAGGGGATGGTGCTCAGGCCGATGGCGGTGGTGGTCCACTTCCGGACAGGAAGTGGCCAGCGTGTGGTTCTGCTCAGCAGGAAGTGAGACGCGGCACACACTCGGTTGATGGTGAATCCAGGAACGGCCACAGAAGCCAGAGCCTGCCAAACGAACGTGTCCACCACTGCCACACACACACACACCGCCTTCCCCGGACGCTCACCGTGAGCCTGCACACACACAGAGCAGAGAGAAGCACACACACGCACGCGCACACAGAGCAGAGAAGGGGGGATCAGATACTGCAGATTTGGTGCACACCCATGCACACACACACACACTCACTCTCACCGC